TTTCAGGTGGAGGGAAAACATATATGCACCCCGCGAGAAGTAAGACATAGCTGTTTCCAGTCTTCGTATTTAACATGCATCTTACGAAGAAACTTGTTGACGTATCTTAAATCAAGAATAAGCCTCTTCTTTTCATTAGCTTGAACAGATACGGACAAGGGGTTGACCAACCTGGGCGGTACATTGGTTTCCACAACACGACCTGACTCAACTAAGTCTTGAGAAAGTCATGTGAAAGACACGATCTGTTGTTTTTGAAAACTGCTGGTTCCGGAAAACTAACGAAAGGTAACAAATATCCCCTTTCTATAACGTTAAGAATAAAACTAGGGGTTCCAATATGCTTCCAAAATTCGACGTTTCTACGAAGATTTCCCTTGACGTTGACACACGGCGGACTAGTACTTAACTCAAACTCAAACAATTCGCTATCGCAATGTACCTGAGCGATATCAGCAACCTCCTCATCAAAAACATTACTGCTTTGTACCGGGTTGAGTGTGGGCTCTGTGGCTGAGTCTGTAGGGGCTGTATGAGTATCCTGGGGTGAATGTGGTTCCGTGATAAGCACTTCGTGGGCTATCCCAGGAGGCAGTGCATTTTCTTGCCCAGTGGCCGAGTTTGTGACATTTAAAGCACCTCGCGCGGTCCACGCAAGCATCTGTACCGCCTGAAAACAGATGAAATAAAAGCAGTATCAAAAGCAGATAAAATGAAAAAACACCCGTAGAAACCTGAGAAAAAGGGAGGGTGGGTGGGGCCAGATCTAAAACGTCTGAAGCAGAAAACAGCTCTAAAGTGCTAAGGTCGCTTAAGCGAGAGAGAGAGAGAGAGAGAGAGAGAGAGAGAGAGAGAGAGAGAACAAACTGAAAACAGCATCTTAAATAGGTAAAATGAACCAATCGGAAGCTACGATAAACGCACTGCGACGCCAAAAGGCGACAAACTGTAAGAAAGAATGTGAAGCTAAAATAACAGTGGAAAATATATTTTATTTTCAGTTGTTCTGAATATCTCTAAAGCTTGTCATTGTAAAAAAAATACTACATCTGTTCGCAAGGAGAAAGTTTTCTGCACAATTCTTGTTGAGACCCATACCTATTTACTTTTTCTGACACAAAGTGCGCGCATGCAGAGCGATTTTCGTCTTGTCATGTGCGGAATTTCCGAGAACGTCCAGCGACTTCTAAGAACTGTTTAAAAAACGAGCAGGAGTGTATATTTTCAGGTTTAAAAACTCGAGGCGAAGCCGAGAGTTTTTAAAACTGATAATACATGACTGCGAGTTTCTTGAACGGCTTCAAAATCTCTGATATAGATCAAATCATTCTTACTCTAATATTTAGATTTGGGATTATTTTGATCTAACAAAACAGACGTTAAGTTTAGCCGTGTCTTTATCAGATATAAAGACACTCGACACTCATTATACCTTAATTTCTTTTGTTTTTTTGTTGTGAATTAATAATTTTATAAATAAATAAGAAAACGTCTTCTGAAATCTTTCAAAAACTCATTATTAATTCATAAAAGAAAAATAAGGTTTAATGTGTGTCTTTATATCTGATAAAGACAAGGCTAAACTTTACGTCCATTTTTTAGATCAAAATAATCTCAAATGTAAATATTAGTATTATCAATCACATGCCTGCATATTGCGCTGTGCGTGACTTCAACGAAACGCTTAAACGCGGCGGATATCGAAAAAAGCGAATCGAAACAACAGTGAAAGGTTAACCAAGCGAAACATGCATGAATAGTTAATATTACTTTCAGAGGGCGAAGCGAAAACACACTAACATGGCGTCGGGTTATCTAGCCCTGTATTTCCGGGTGATACTTCTCTTATTTCTCGTCTCTTTGGTATCAGGTAGGCCAGTTTTATCTCTTACGAACTATCCACATGTCATTTAGGGTCATTTTGGCTTGACTACATGCAAACATTCGTTTAGAATAGTGGCCCAACGAGATATTAGCCAGATATTGCTTCCTGCTGTACTAAAATGATGTCGTCGGTATAAGCACTTTCTATGAATACTTTCATACTAAATGAGCTTCCCTTGTTAGTTCATTTGCAAATTCCTGAGATAATTCAAAAATTCAATGGCAATACACAATGTAGTTCCAAATTTATTGTGAACAAACATTCTCAGCTAACTTTGTTTGTTTCCGGAACGATAATTTAGTACCATAAATTTCCCTATCCGAACCAAAATAGGTATGCAAATATTAAGGATAAATGACGAGACCACAAAATTTTCAAAAAAATACCAGTAGGTTTAATTTTCAATAATATCCTTTGAAGCATTGCTTATGAGGCCTTTAATGTTTTTCTAACAGCGCAGATTAAGTAAATTGTCCCCAGTGTAACGATATTAAAAATATCATTATTAATTAAGGTACTATTTATCAAGTAGGTCAATAAAACATTTTCAACTTTGGAATTTACGTGCGGAATCATATTGAGAAGATAAATTCGTTGTACTTGAATGAATCACGACGAAATTTACCGCCTTTAAAGGGTCTATGTCTCGCTGGTTTCTTTTCAAGAAAGCTAAAACTTTTTTCGCATCATGCAATTGAATTCCAACTCAACAATGACCCAGTTTTGTTATTTAATTTAAGACTATATTTAGGCGTTGCATGTTTTTTCCTTCCGTTGTTGCAAGGGCCGTTGACACAAAGATGGACATGGATTGAGTTGTACGAACGTTTTCAAGTTTTAGCCGGGGTTTTAGCTCTGTTGAGACACGACCCGGGGACTTTTGAGCCCTACCCCCTCTAACTAGAAAAAATTGAATAACTTCATACACGTTTTAGCTATGACCGCCAAACTTAGCGACTTTTCCTACAATTTGTCTGAGAGTTTAAATTCTTCTTTACGTGTACGTAACCATTGACGTTGCCACAGCATTCGAGATTTGCATTTTTTCCATAAAAAAAGTTTTATTCCCTTTTTACTGATTAAATTTTTTTTGTTAATCTTAATTTAGCACTATTTTATCAAATTTAGTATAACTAGTAATGTAATTCAGGCTTCTTACTGATTAAATTGAAGAAAAAAAACATGGACTTAAAATGACCAAGTGGCATAAGTTGATTCAATTTTCAACAGTGTTTATTTCTCTGGGAATTCCATAACTTGCAGATTTCTTTGCTTCCTAAGCATCTTAATTTATACCCAGTTCAAATATTTATCACTAAAACTTTGATTCTAGTTTTAAGTTAAACGGAATATATTTTAAAAAAATTCCAATAGCAGATCAAGATGGTGGATAAGTCCAGTTTCCTCTTTAACCCTTTAAGCCCCAATATCCACATACAAATTCTCCAAACTGATCTCCACACATCTCCTTTAACAATTAGTTGAGAGAATTTGATAAAAGATCAAAGCATTTTCTACATGGTGATCATACTATTAATTCTTATAACTTTATTTCTTGACAGTGTATGGATATTGTTAGGAGAAAATTGTTGTTGGTCACTATTGGCACTTAAAGGGTCAATGAAAAAAGACGCTACCATCACATCACTGTTACTTTAAAGATTCTTATGTGTTAGAACGTCTTGATTTTATCAGCACCTTACTATTTAGTTATTTTTTGGCTTTATGGTCATTTTGAGAGAGAGGATTCTGCCATAAATTCAACAATGTGACGACGTAATGATGTCAATTACGTCATTGTGTAAACAAGTTGTGCTTAGATTTTAGTTTTGATGAGTACATTATTGTATGTGTAATTTTGGTGGCCGTATCGTGAGCGGTGTGGAAGTCATAGAGAGGGGCCTCGGAGCCCCCTCCCGGTCACACAGGAAGGAAGAAAAAGCCCTGTCTGAAAAGAGTTATGCTATGCATAAAAAAAAAAAAATTCCCGAAAGTTATTATCTAATACTACCTGATTAATTTTGTTTGATAACTTGTACATACCCCTTGTTTGCCGCTCAAAACTTTAAATAACCTTTGTTTTTAAATTGCTGGGGTTTTTAAAGCTGTATTATAGGAGATTTGTAAATGGCAGTAGATCTAAAAGAGGATATTGTATCATTACAACTGGACTAGGAACAGGGCTTCGAAACAATCTATGTATTTTGCAAGTACAGTTTTTTACTAGGCCTCATAACGTCACATAAAAATCATGAAATCCATTTTTAAACTAGGTAGATGGTGGTGTTTATATGCGGGTGGGGGCTTATAATCGGAATTTCGTTTTTGGTTTGCAGGTAAAAAACCGGCATTATAACAGGGTGGGCATACAGGAGGCTGAGAAGTGGGGGTGGGGGTGGGGTGTGGTCGCTTAGAATAGGGATAGATACATACATTATGCTGGAAAATAAGCATCCTGCTTTTGAGCGTCACCCTCAAAACAACAGCATAATGCCTGAAATTATGCTCTACAAGTAGCATTATGCTCGACTGAAGCTCCGGCTGTATTTGATGCCCTTTTCCATCCCTGCAGACCTGAATACAAAATTTTATTGCATCAGTAACAAATTTCGAACTGGCAGCCATGATGGATAGACAATCAGCCAGTCTTAGCTAGCAGCCCAACAAAATGATGCAACTGTGCAAAAAAGACATTACGAAGTAGCAATCAAGCCTTTCAACATGTTAATTCTCACTAGCTTAAAGCACTTGGAAGCAAAAATTTCTAATTACAGTTATCATACTCCTTATGTAATTATTATTATTTTTTTCATTATCATTCTCTTTATGCTGAAAAAAAAAATGGCCCTTATGCCGGTATTATGCTTGATGGTCCGACTATAGCATTATGCCCAAAATTATGCTGGCATAATGTACCTAAAGCTAGTTTAGAAGAGGCAGTTTACGGTTACCCGTTTAATTTTTATGCAACTGGCTCCTGATATTTAGGTGACTGAACGTGAAAAAGGTATCAATACAGTCTCCTTAATACCACAGTCTCCTTAATACCCAAAGAAAAAGTAAATAAATAAATACATATATGTATTTATTTATTTACTTTTTCTTTGGGTATTAAGGAGACTGTATTGATTTGGATCTTGGAACTGGAAGTGGTGAAATCCCAGATAACAGTATAACCGCCTCCTCTGAGATATCAGAAGCCAAGAATGGACGTTTGAACGAAATAAAAGCATGGTGTGCGTCTACAGGAGATGCAAAACCTTATTTACAAATAGACCTGGAAACCATCCATATTGTCTGTGCTGTGTCAACACAAGGAAATCCAAATGCAGATCAGTGGATAGAGACCTACACAATCCAGGTATCAACGGATGGAACAACCTGGACAAATTATAAGGAACATGGTCAAAATAAAGTATGTTTCTACATTCCTTCCACTTTATCTATGCCAACTCTTGTATAAAAAACAACAACAACAACAAAACCGATAACAACCACAAACCAAATAGAGTGATTTTCGTATGACCTTGAAATGAAAACACGCGAACAAAATAGAAAAAACAAACGAACGGAAAGAGAGCCATTTGATTGGTTTATCGGACGGACATGACGTGCGTGGCTTTTGGTTGGTTAAGCGAACGCTCGGTTGAGAAAACGTCACCCCGGGAACTTTCTAGAAAGTAATCGATAATTCGCTTTGACGTCATACTGCAAAACGACTGGCCAATCGAACAATGCCTTCTCCATATTAGGATTTTCTTTGGTGGGAAAAAGAAGAGTCCATGTTTTGATCATTTCATCCATTGGCTGATAAAACAATAACAAAAACTTACCGAAACCATTTTTCAAGGTCATACGAAAATCGCTCTAACAACAAAAACCAAACCAAACCAAAACAAAAAAAAGCAAAAATAACAAAGACGTAGCCAGCGTATCAAGACTTTTCCATTTATAGGTTTTTGTCCGACGACTAATTAACTGGCGAGGAAACGCCTTCGAGCCATCTTAATACAGTTATCACTTAAATTGCATATGAAACGAAATTTTCTCAAACTGATTTTGGTCCGTCCATAGATAAGTTTCATTAACAATTGTTAACTTTGAAAAAAATGTCCAATTAAAACGTTCTTGAATTTTGGCCATCCAGAAAACTGCTTTCCCCCCTTTAGAAATGTCCCAAAGACTGAGAACAAACCGCTTGCTTCCAATTCTTGTCATTGCTTTGTGTTCTGTGGGGAATTAGGCGATGTAACTGACTGTAACGAAGGCATGGGGAAGTAAATGAAGATTCTGAAGATTATTGGGGCGTTTCCGACAATGCAAAATCCTTTGTATTTGCCTCCTTCTTGTTAATTATTCTATATTCTTGCACTGAGAATCATTGTACGTCACACTTGTCAACTGGTCGCGCGGTAGGGTGCGGACATTTTTGAAGGCAAATTGCCTGCTTCGGGGACGGAAGCTTAGATTTTGCTAAATCATTGACCTGTAAATTCCGGTTACATATTTTACACATATTGTAGAACGTAAGGACAATTTGAGTCACAAACACTTAAACTGAAAGCCTTTGACTTTTACAAAACGAGGAACTCTTTCGAAATGTTAATGAAAAGTGTTTATCTGTTACGTTCTATTGCCTTAGTCATGAAAAAACTCGATTAGAATAACTGGTTAACCAGTTTAACCTAATGACAATAAAAACGATGTTGATTGCGGTAATAATGGCAATGACATGAGTAATCGAAAGGATAATGATAAAAGCACTATCTGTAAAACTGACAATTTCAAACTTCCCTGATTGTTGACGAAATCCCTATGGAAAATAGCCATGTTGTTCTAATAAAAACCCTGGGTAAATGTATGTGCGTACTAGCTATTTTCCCTGTTTTGAAATGTAATAGATTGACTGTATCTATTTTGACGGTTTAATATGGCTGAACTGTTGTATTGTGATTAGACTTTCACAGGTAATAAAGACAGAAATACAGAGAATAAAAACATCTTCTCTGAGGGTGTTTTAGCGAAAAGGCTGAGATTCGTTGTCCAAACAAGTCACAACAGGTTCTGTCTGAGAACAGAAATATACGGAGTAAAACTAAAGCCAGGTAAACGATTTTTACTTATAATTACCCCGGGGGAAGGGATACCCCTCGGAGTTCTTGGTGATTTGTGCCTCCCGGCTTTTCCAGTAGGCCCGGATTCTATTTCAGATCAGAAAGGGAAAAAGGTCGACTTCCGGTTGCACTGACGTGCGTCGTTCAAAAATGCGGAAATTAATGAAATACAATCGTAAATGGTTGGAAATTCGAAAACTTCCGGAAAATGCGACGAGAGATCTCAACATCGTCCCCAGAGTCTTCTCATTGGAAAACGAGAAGACCCTGGGGTTGAGGGAGAGATCTTGGTTCCAGACCTCACGCTGACCGCAAATTTTAAAATGGCCGCCAAAGAGAATGAATACATGAAGTAAGTTATCTTTATTCAGTTAGTCGAATTTCAGAACTTCCTGTGTTATTTTCGCTTCTACGCGACCTTCGAAATTGAGGCCGCTTGGAAGTCGAATGATAAAAAGAGAGCTAGATGTCAGCGTGTAGAGTAGTTTGATTGAGGCCGGGGAATCATTGGTACTACCGAAAGAATAGAGGGCCCAGTTGTTCGAAGGCCGATTGGCGCTTAACCAGGGTTTCATTTTCTTGTGTTCAAAGTAATTTTCTCGGGTAATTTTCTCTGTTATTTTTAGAGGTTCCAATCATTAACTTGTTGATCAAAAAAATTAAAAATGAAATGCTTTTTAAGCTTTCAAATGTAAATGCAAATCTCGTACTAACCGTGGGTTATCTTAACCCAGCTTTTGAACAACTTTGGCCCAGGGATACTCAGGTCCACCTTGTTGAGAGGCTTTGAAGAATGTTTCATATAGCAATAGACGCTTTTGTTATTTAATGATATGATGATAAGTGGCCCTGTGTCTGGAGGTAAATCTATTTCCAAAGTGCTGTTTATCATCACAATGGAATCATTGTTTTAATATCCATACCTTCTGCCTCTGGTTGAGGACAGATGGAATTCTTTAGGGGTAAGTAACAAAAACTGGGGATTTTTTTAGGGGTAGAGTTAAAAAAAACAAACAAAAACAAAAAAAAAGCAATATATGAAATAGTTCCATTGTTTGGGGGTGAAGATTTAATTTTCATGAAATTCTTCAGAGGTGGAACCGTAATTTTTTGGGGGGTAGATTGAGCCATACTCATCCAGGGTACACCCATATTCTTCAGGGGTAGGAACCATATTGTTTGGAAGTCTTCAGGGGCTGAATGCAATTTTATTTAATTTTTCAGGGTTGAGAAGTAAAGTTATGTTCTCAACAGTGGGGTGAGGGGGTACGGTTATTAAACCCAAGAGCCCATTGTTAAAGAAAATTTTAATTCACTTTTTTTTTTTCCCCCAAATCCTGCCCTTCATCATTTTTTCAGCAAGAAAACAATTGAGCTGCCTTGCTATGAAGTATAAGACCTACATGTCATACTTGGGACTTACCCTATGACAGCACACTAAAGATATTTGTACCTTGTTAAGTCCTGCTTAATTCAGCTAAGAAAATATATAAGAAATCATCTGGTGGGGTATGGAGACAAAAATACCCTTTCTCATCTAATTTCTCACACACCCCACTGGTGTCTACCACAGCATTAAACCCAGCGAGTTAGTCACAGGTATCTGCCAAACACAACGCTTAGAATCTACTAACAATTTGTATGAGCCTTCACTTTTCTGATATATTGGACTCTGCCTTTTTTACTGTTTGTGGTATCTGAAACCTTAAAGATTATATAAGAGACACTTGTTCATGTATCTCAAGTGATCTCCCTTTTGTAAAGAAAAGCTTGCTTCTCATGTTTAATTAGCCTTCACCGCAGACAAAAGCAAACTCTGGTTAATTCGTCTCGGAAACAATTTACGCCAAAAGCCTTGGTCTGGGCCCTCACCTGTGTACCAGGATTTGAGTACATGCCATGATTGGTCTCTTGTGGATTTGCCAACATGGTTGAGAGGAAATTCGAAACACACTTCTGGCAATTAATTCCTTGAGTCCTTTGGTGGCCTACAACAATGATCTTGGCGCTGCTTCACAGATGTTACTAACCGAGGTTAAATTAAGTCTGAAGTGAAGGCTCATGTTTCATTCAAAAAAACATATTTATATGAGCTTCTTCTCCATATATAACATGTGTAGAGAACCTAGCTTTTGGAAAGCAGACAGAGCAAAGAAGAACCTACTCTGGTGGCCATTCATGGAAGGCAGTGGATGGAAAGGTTGGCACAAACTTTGATCCTGGTGATCAGTGTGCACATACAGAGGCAGACGACCCCAGTTGGTGGCGGGTAGACCTGGGTTCAGACAACGTGCCAGTCTCTGAGGTTCTCATAGTCAACAGATTCTCGCGCTTTGAAGGAATAAGACAAAGAAATAAGGACTATGTAGTAACATTAGGTCGGTAATTTGGGTTGTCATTGTTTTGTTTTGTACACAGAACTGTACCATTGATTTATTTTTACTTTTAATCAACTACTTATTTGTTTATTATTTTAATTTTGTCTATTTTTATCTTATTTTATTTATTTTTTCTGTTGTATTTCTCTTTATTACGGAAAAAATGCGGCCAAACAAGCGGTAATAAGAGGTGCATAATTGTCAGAATTACTGTATTATAACACAGAATGTGGATTTCTGATTGGCTGTATTCTTTATGGCTTGGATAAAAGATGTTACTATTCATCCAGAATATGTTGCCATTTCTGAATGGCTTTAACCCCTTGGCTAATCCTTCATAACCAGCTGGTACAGAGCAAATTTGGAAATTTTAAGCAATAGATGTATTATAGTCATGTTCCATCGATATGATAAATGTATTGCCAGCAATAGACAATCACAACCTTGTTTGCAGGCGGTTGCTTGACAGCCTACAGTGTAGCTGTTTTGGCAGGAGAAGTCGAGAAAATGGATCATAGCTATCCGAAGGCAATATGGCCAATTTAACTAAACGGGAAAATTGCTTGAGTGTGCAGAGAAATATAGTTTGATGGTTGGCATTTACTTTTTGAGGAACATCTGCT